GGGATCACAGGCATGCGCCACCATGCCTGGCTAATTTTGTATTTTTAGTAGAGACGGGGTTTCTCCATGTTGGTCAGGCTGGTCTTGAACTCCCGACCTCAGGTTATCCACCCGCCTCAGCCTCCCAAAATGCCAGGATTACAGGCATGAGCCACTGTGCCCGGCCGATTTATTTCGTTTCTTATTCAGAGGATAAATAATATTCTCTGGTCAAATGACTCTCTTTCTGTTTTTGCCAAGGTCCGAGACTTATTTGCCCTTGCTCGGAAGAATGCCCCTTGCATCCTCTTCATCGATGAAATTGATGCGGTGGGAAGGAAGAGAGGAAGAGGCAACTTTGGAGGGCAGAGTGAGCAGGAGAACACACTGAACCAGCTGCTGGTGGAGATGGATGGTGAGTGGTCAAGGCTTTTGTATCTTTAACTGCACTTTTTGTTTTTTTGTTTTTTTTTTTTTGGGATGGAGTCTGGCTCTGTCGTCCAGGCTGGAGGGTAGTGATGTGATTTCGGCTCACTGCATCCTCTGACCCCTGAGTTCAAGCGATCCTCCTGCCTCAGCCTCCTGAGTTTAAGCTGCACTTTCTTATGCCTTTCATGTCCCCAAAATGAGAGTCCTTATTCCAATATTGAATATCACAAACAAACAAAAAAAAGCATTCCCTAAAACAGTTCTTTTAAAAGGCTCTTTTATACTAATATAAATAATGGCAAAATATTTTTTTCCTGGCAGCCTGCATAACTTAATATTGGTGTTAACATGCTGTTTGTGTCTGGTGTTTGAATAAGAGAAGAATTGGTGAAATGAGTGACAAAAGAATTACCATCTCATTCTCTAAATCATCACCATCTCTGAAGCACAAGGAAAATCTAAGCCTAACCCAATGTGAATTTCGCAAATTTCAAATACTTTCTTTCCATGCTAGCCAGCTTTTCTTTCATTTAGGAAAGGGACTTCTCAGGATGTCGTGTGTTCTTCCTGCTGGAAGGTAAAAATGTGGATGCTTGGTTGGTTGTGCAGAAAGGGGAAGCACAGTGCCAGTACTGAACTGGCTTCAATGACGAAGCCAGGCATAGGGTCAGAATAAGAAGGTAGAGATCCTCCTTCCTCCCGCAATGGTCAGCCCGTGTTGCGTTCACATTGGAGCACCACTTCTGAGGGAAATGCACCCAGGAGATCCTGCCGTGCCAGGGTCCTGAGGGTGAAGGGCCTGGGACCATGGCGTTTACATTGAGAATGGGCAGTAACACGGAGCTGCTTGAGTGTAGAGAAGAGGTGGGAGGTAGAGGTTGATCTCTACCTTCAGATAGGCAGTTGGTTGTCCTGTGGCCCAGTGTGTCAGAGACATCCTTTGCAAATTTAATCTGATTTTAAGACATTTTTTAAATTGACGTTATCTTCTAAATTTCTAGTTAAATAAATTTAAATATTTGGCCATTTGTCTTTAGGAAATTTACTCTTAAAATTTTAAGTCTAACATATGATTATTTTCAAGGAAAAGCTGAATAGTAAGAAAAATAATTCAAGTTTGTAACTTAAAAAACACTGGATAGGCCGGGGCGGTGGTTCACGCCTGTAATCCCAGCACTTTTGGGAGGCCCAGGCAGGTGGATCACCTGAGGTCAGGTGTTTGAGACCAGCCTGACCAACATGGAGAACCCCTATCTCTACTAAAAATGCAAAAATTACCCAGGTGTGATGGGGCATGCCTGTAGTCCCAGCTACTCGGGAGGCTGAGGCAGGAGAATCGCTTGAACCCGAGAGGCAGAGGTTGCAGTGACCTGAGATCATGCCATTGCACTCCAGCCTGGGCAAGAGTAAAACTCCGTCTCAAACAACAACACAACAAAAACCCACTGGATAATGAATAGAAAATGTGTTTACTGTAGCTATGAATTTGCAGTGCTCATATGTTCCTGATGGTGCACTGTTGCTTTCTGCCTCTTGTCATTTAATAGTGTTTGCATTTTTGTTATCTTTCAGGTTTTAATACAACAACAAATGTCGTCATTTTGGCCGGCACTAATCGACCAGATATCCTGGACCCTGCGCTGCTTAGGCCGGGGCGTTTCGACAGGCAGATCTTTATTGGTGAGATGATGTTTGCTGGGGCAGGTCCAGTGCTCATGAGTATAGGTGTGACTGTTTCAATATGATTTTCTTTTCCTTAAAAATGATTTCTAAAGGACCACCAGACATAAAAGGAAGAGCTTCTATTTTCAAAGTTCACCTCCGACCACTAAAACTGGACAGTACCCTGGAGAAGGATAAATTGGCAAGAAAACTGGCATCTTTAACTCCAGGGTTTTCAGGTGAGTGGAAAGTAACGAGGACTCTATTTAGAAGTATATTAAAATCAGGAATAGTTACCAGGTACCAGTTTACTTTGTTGCCTTTTCACTACTTTACTGTGGGCTACCTAAGTTTATATTCTCAATTTTTTTTTTTTTTTGAGACAGGATCTTGCTTTATTGCACAGGCTGGACTGAGTGGTGTAATCATAACTTACTATAGCCTCAACCTTCTGGGCTCGAGTGAT